GGACTGACCTGAGCCAGATCCATATTGACCATGGCCAGATGACTGACCTGAGCTAGACCCGTGTTGTCTAGAGCCTGAGGACTGACCTGAGCCAGATCCATATTGACCATGGCCAGATGACTGACCTGAGCTAGACCTGTGTTTTCCAGAGCCTGAGGACTGACCTGAGCTAGACCCATGTTTTCCAAAACCAGATGACTGTCCTGAGCTAGACCCATGTTGTTTGAAGCCTGAGGACTGGCCTGAGCCAGATCCTTGTTGGCCATGGCCAGACGACTGACCTGAACTGGACCCATGTTGTCCAGAACCTGAGGACTGACCTGAGCTAGACCCGTGTTGTCTAGAGCCTGCGGACTGACCTGAGCCAGATCCATATTGACCATGGCCAGATGACTGACCTGAGCTAGACCCGTGTTGTCTAGAGCCAGCGGACTGACCTGAGCTAGATCCGTGTTGTCTAGAGCCTGAGGACTGACCTGAGCTAGACCCATGTTGTTTGAAACCTGAGGACTGACCTGATCCAGACTTGTGTTGTCCAAAGCCTGAGGACTGGCCTGAGCCAGATCCATGTTGTCCAAAACCTGAGGACTGACCTGAGCCAGACCCATGTTGTCCAGAGCCTGAGGACTGACCTGAGCCAGAACCTTGTTGACCACAATTAGAAGACTGACTTGCTCCAGACCCATATTGGCTACCACAAGAGGACTGTCTTGATCTTCTTCCCTGTTGACCACAATTAGAAGATTGACTTGCTCCAGACCCATATTGGCTACCACATGAGGACTGTCTTGATCTTCTTCCCTGTTGACCACAATTAGAAGACTGACTTGCTCCAGACCCATATTGGCTACCACATGAGGACTGTCTTGATCTTCTTCCGTGTTGACCACAATTAGAAGACTGACTTGCTCCAGACCCATATTGGCTACAGCAAGAGGACTGTCTTGATCTTCTTCCCTGTTGTCTTCCACAGTTCTGTGGTTGACAACAGTTCCGTGGTCGACAACATGCCGGGGATCCATGTCTTCTTCTATGACAAGAAGATGGGCTACAGGAGCGAGGCCTACATTGGCCATATCCAGAGGACTGACCTCTTGAGATGCATCTCTGACCTTGTCCTCCACTATTTCGTGATTGACAACCTGACTGAATACAGCTAGATATATTTCCTTGCCTTCCATATCTGCCTGCCTGACAGGAGCTGGAAACATTTTGTCTTCCTCCACACCCACTTGAGTTGATGGAATCACATGCATAGCTTTGTCTCCCACTATCTCCTGAACCTTTAGAGCTAAAAGCAATAGCCTCTAATCCATATGACAGACCATCATGACCTTTTCTTTCCCCGCTCTTAAATCCAGATTCAGATTCATATTCCTCCCCAGATTCCCTAGAGGGGCTAACTGAGTCGCCAGAGCTAGACCCATGGCGCCTTTTCTCAAATCCTTGTTTCTCTGAGCTAGATACACTACCTTTCCTTCCCAGCCTTTTGGAGTGGGATCTATGTCTATGTTTCGCAGTTCCCCTCAAGCCCTCAGAACCATGCTCCTCTCCCTCACTCCAACTTGAATTTCTAGAACCTGATTTCTGTTCAGATGTATTCTCATCTTCTTCTTCTGTTTCACCTTCTTTCTTTTGGTGCTGGCGGCCATGACTACGCTTCTGCTTCTTTGACCCTGAAGTTTTGCAGTATTCTTTGCTAAGAACGTTGTTGCAGGCCATAGCCAGCTTGAATACCATCAGAAGAAACTCAGTAAAGTCCAGTCTTCGGTCATGATCTCGATCCAGCATATGCATAATGACCTCCACCGTGTCTGGATTATCTGGGTTCTGTATATGAGCAACACACCAAAGGAATCTTGATCAGCTTAACCCACATACTCAGCTAAAATATTCATATAGGACTATGAAATTATAGATATTTGACATGAAGTATTTTAATCCAATCAAGGATTGCTTTAGGCTAAGGCAGACTAATAGGACCCAGCAGGTGTGAAGGAGTAATAAAAAAAATAAAGCTATTGGAATCCTCAGAAGAATACAATTCAAGGACCTAAGTTAGAGACCTAGGTACTCAAATATGGCATACAGGAAGGAGTTGGATAAACAAAGTTCAGAACTGGTGTGTTTTAGTTTTCCATACATTTAAAACATCATATGCTAATATATTCTATGTTGGGATCTATAATTTCAAAGTTAATAGCTGCATCCTTTCCAAGTAGATGGAAAAAAAAACTCATGTATTTTGTTTTCTGTTTTTAGTTATCCTGGCTACTTGGTCAACTGCCCCTGTATATGACTTCTCTTTCTATAGTTTTTCTTCCCCATTTGATAGGGTAACTTATTAATTCATGTCTTAGTACAGACTTCATTTTCTGCTCTTTCAGAATGGGAAGCTTGGGAGGCATGAAGAAGTCTGAGAGTCCACATGGTGGAAATATACAAGAAAATGAGGAAACAACAAGTCACTTTTCTAAAAATACACACTGCCTCAATAGACTTTCTGATGTCCCCAAAAAGTACTGCTTATAGAGTTTTCTCAAAAAGTACTGGAACTAATATTAGCTAATATTTGGTTATATAGTAGAGAATGTACAAGACTGTAGAAACTTTTAGTCCTAGCACATGGTCCTCACCTTCAGAATTGGCCGAAACTCTTTTTCTAGAAGTTCCTTTAGCTCATCCTTGCTCAGTGTGCCACATTCCCCATCTTTGTTGGTGTATTTGTAGAAAATATCAATGACGGTGACAACACTTCTTAAGAGGTCGGTCATCTTTCTGCACGTTTAAGTGAACCTAAAGAGAAAAACAAAAGAGTCTATCATTAATTTTCTTTCCTGTTCTGATTTTAATAATCGTCATCATGAGTTTTCAAATCTCTTCTCTCTTTAAAACCTAAAATACCTCAAAGAATAAAGAAGGGTCAGGATGATACAAAACCTTTCAACACAGTGAAAAATAACTTTGTTAAATTAACATTAGTCATGGACATGTTACTGGCTGAACTGAGACTAAATCTCAGGTCTCCATGCCCTGGATGAATATATTCTTTTCTTAATGTCTCTATACTTTGTGTACTTTGGTGTCCTGGGTGTTGTCCGTGGGTTTCCAAATTTTCTAGAACCGCCCAGACATTTCCCCCCAGTTTCTCTTGCTAGTTTCACTGATTTTCTAGAGGCAAAAGCAACAGACCTTCTATCAAAAGCTAAACTGGACCCTTAAGACCTTCAGAAAATAAAAAAAAAATGGGCAAAGGGAGCCAATGCTTTCTTGGTTTTCCAGAGGACTGAGATAGCCCTCCTGAGAGCTTAGGAACTATCTTGACCTAATTCAATCATCAGGGAAAAAGGCTCAGAAATGCAGGCAGCAATTTGAATAGTAGATAATTTGATCTGGGAACTCTGGGAAATGACACTGAACAAGGAAGGGACTCTACCACAGTGCCAGCCTCCCCCCATTTGAACTTGGCAGTCCAGAAAAGATGGCACGAAATAAGACTAGGAAGAAAGTGTGGAATGGCCTGTAAGAAGACAAACTTCCATTGAATTACTCTTCTCCACAATGACAAATTTATTCTAAAAAGGTCCCAGAATAAATTAAACTAGACAAACAAATAAGCAAATAAAAAGAAAAGAAAAAAATAATATAAATGACAGTGATTAGAAAAAAGATACATCGGTAGAAAAGGAAAAAAGAAAGAAAGAAAGGCCAAATATATATTAACTCTGCCTTAGCTCAAATTCTTGGATTTCTGCTGTGGAAAATGACCAACCAAATATCCATCAATATAGATGGATAAGTTTTCTCTCACCTGGTTCACCAAAGGAACAAGTAGGAAAAAAGCCTGATGAAGCTTGCAGGGTGACAATGATTGAGATAGTGGCCCTTATATAGCTAAACATGTGGGTGCTGCCCTCTGTGGGATGGACTGATTAATTTCCAATCAAACCTAACTCCACCTCTGTTCATGTTTACCTTCCTACTTCTTTGCATTCTCATCTATGAGATGATTGCAGAAAGGCTGGTACTGAAGCTCCTTCTAACATGAGGACATGCTGCAGGGCACTTTTTTTTCAGGCCCACGCACTTGTGAAAAGCAGATTCTGTGTTTTAGAGGACTCGTGTAGTTCATCCCCTTTATGTAGTACCACGAGAAAGGTAGCAAACTGTATGGTACTTGGCAGGTATGCAATAAATGCTTATTTAATTGAAATGAATGTAGGTGCTCTGGCCAGATGACTCAGTTGGTTGGAGAGTCATCCGGTGCACCAAAAAGGTTTCAGGCTTGATTCCCAGTCAGGGCACATGTCTAGGTTTCCGGTTTGATCCCCTGTTGGGGCATGTACAGGAGGCAACCAATCAATGTTTCTCTCTTATATCAATGTTTCTCTCTCTCTCTCTCTCTCTCTCTCTCTCTCTCTCTCTCTCCCTCCCCCCTTCCCCTTCTCTCTGTAAAAATCAATAAAAGCATACCCTTGGGTGAGGATTAAAAAAAAGATAGAAAATGAACGTAGGCCATTAGGCTCACCTAACATGTCTTTTTTGCAATAATAATTTACATTTATTGAGACTTTGCTATGTGCAAGGTATTATGCTGAAGACTTTTCACATATCATCTCATTTAATCTTTACCACATTTCTATGAGATATTTATTTTTTCCCATGTTACAAATGAAGAAATAGGTTCAGAGAGTATACGAGTCATCTCCAAGTTCATACAATGTATAGGTGGAGGAACCAGGGTTTGAACCTATATCTACCTTATGACAATGCCCTTGCTCTTAATCTTTATATTAGCTTATCTCTGTGTTTTGATTATTATTTGCCCATTATGCAAAAATTATGCTTTGTTTTAGGAGTGTCAGATCCATCCAAACAAACACACAAAAATGAAAAAATAATAAAAAGAATGCTGTCAGCCAGGAAGAGAAGAAACATATTCTCTGGCCCTTTGAAGGCTCTTTTCTAGACTATAAAAGTGTAAGTTAATGGGCTAAATACAGAAGTAATGTTTTCAGACACGTTCAGAATAAATTTAGAGTGAACTTTCTTCTGGGGCTTTCTTTTATCCATTGGTAGTCTGGCAGCTTTGGACCTGAATGCTTGGGAAAATGCCACTTATATACATAAAGTATATCAAATATAATGCCTGCGGGAAGCAAACATAGTCAGAAGGCCGTAGTAGGCAGGAAGAACCAGCTTTTCTGTACCTTGCCACCAGGTGTGATGATGATGATGAAGATGATGACTGATGAAGATAGCAGTTATCATTACTGTCTTCTAGACTAGAAGGTTTTACATGCTTATCTATTTATCGCAATAATTCTGTAAAGTCAGTATTTTCTTTTTTATTTTAATTTTTAAAAAATTATTATTAAGGTATTACAAAT